CCTTAGTCACTTCCACTCTGTTGTGTGCTTGTACTACTTGGTCTTACCGCCTTGCCCCTGCCCCTAATTGGCCTCACGCCATGGTACCTATTTCCCCCCCACCCTCCTTATCGTCACGCCTAGCCCTCTATAGTACGCCTGTCAATCCCCCAATCAATCCCTTTCTTTTGATTTTTTTTTTTTTTTTAATTTTAATCCCTTTCTAACTATGGTACAAACTGGTTGCTTTGCATAGCATTCCGTCGCCCTATCACTGTTCTTCATCCTTTTGGACCTCCGGGCTTGGCTCATCAGGACCGGGCCAAACCTCATGTGCCCTGTGCATGAGTCACGAGTAAGCAGTTGCGGGTACGGGGCCCCGGGGCCCATCTTGCCTGGAAACGTTCCTCCTTTTGTCCTCTTGTGCTTCTGCACTCTATGCAGGTCCGCCAGGAGAGCCACTCTGATGTTCTCCAATGTCCTTCCCTGGTATATGCCTGCAGCGGAGGGGAGACTCCCCAGCGGAGGGGAGGCTCCCTCACTTTTTTCAAGTTTTTTGTTCTTTTCCCTTTTTTTTTTCCGAGAAAACATCGTGGACCAAACCTTCCAAATGCCTAGTGGTGGTTACAGAATCACCAGGAAGGAGGGTTTGCGTTTTGTGATGGCTCCAGTCTATTGGAGGGGAGCTGCTCGTGGTCTGAAAATTGGGTGCAGGGCCCCTTCCTTGCAACTTTTTCTCTTGCCATACACAGTTTTCCAGATGCTCTACTTAATGCATACTCACTTACCATTTTCGTAAATGTATCTGACTGCAATTGTGGCCCGACCTGGATGAATCTGACAGCAATCACGTCCAGAGGTATGTAGAATAGGTCCTAGTGTGAGTGTTTCCTCAGAGCGCCCGCTTCCCTTTTCCCTTATGCTAACCTTTGACGTTTCTGCTTCGCCTGTGAGCGCCAATTAAATAAATAAATAAATAAATAAATAAATAAATAAATAAATAATAAGTTAATACCCCCCCTCGGCCCTTCCTCCTCCCCCCCTTCTAAAATATAAAAACTCTCTGCTGCCCCACTATTCGCTTACTCGCATGAGTCGCGTCCCTCATAAGCTGTTTCACTGAACTTTCACCGTAACATCGCACCCCTGCTTATCATGTGACTCACCCTGCGCTGCCACATACGTTCATCCTTCCGCTGCTTTTTTCCGCACTAGGTGGGCTCCTTGCAGCTCAGCTACCACTTCGCTTCCACCTGTCCATTCCTCCGCGACGCTCTCCCAGGCTTCGTGGACTTTCTGTTCTTCTAGTTGCAGTGTTGTTTCTTCTTCTATTTTAATTCACTTCACTGTTTGCCTCGCCCGTTCCCAGGCAAGCTGCTTGAATGTTCGGTTGAACGTACTCTGATAAACGGACCCGGGCCTGTGAGTACCCAAAGTTATGCTGTCTGTGCTCATATGAGCAGCTCGCTCTCCAGGTCACCATCAACACTTCCAGCTCCCTCCTTCCCCCTGTCTCTCTCTCTCTCTCTCTCTCTCTCTCTCTCTCTCTCTCTCTCTCTCTCTCTCTCTCTCTCTCTCTCTCTCTCTCTCTCTCTCTCT